CAAGCAGATTATAGGACCCAATTGGACAGGAGAAAGATATGTTAAAGCACAACCTCTCGGTTCTATTTTATATCATCTGTGGGTATAAGGTACCATGCTGGGAAGCATCAGGCATATGGGTGCAGCTCCTGTCTGCAAAAGGCTCTCGGTCCAGTGGAAGAAGAGAGGTAGATTCAGAAATGTTTAACGCTACCAGAGAAATGATCAGCAGTTTAACAGATGTAGAGAAAATGTGTGCAGATGAGAGGAATAATAATAACCATCATTTATGGGATATTTACTAGAAGCTATGTGTTTTACTAACATCTTTTCGTTTAATCTTTCCAAGAAATGTATGCTGTTATTATTCTCATTTGATTGTGAGGAAACTGGCTCAAGCAGGTGATGCGTTTTGCCACTGGTGACTCAGCTAACATACAACAGAAACTGGATTCACACCCCAGTCTTTTTAACTTTGAATCATTTACTGCAGGTACACCTCTTCTGACTTAAGAGTTTGAGGTAGGATTTGCACTGAATGAGGAAGACCAAGTGAGAGACATGATGAAGATAGACATACTTCCTGTTTTATATGTGTCTTTGGAGAATATACATACTTGTGTATTCTTGGCAGATAGAATTGCTCTTGCAAAGCTGGAGATTTGAAAAGTTCTGGGACTCTGCAGTGGCTGTAGGAATGCCCACTGCACCATTGTGAGGGCAGCATAGTATACTGAGGAAGGACTAGAGTGATAGCTTCACAGGGAAGAGTGGGGACAGATTGAGTACAGCTGTGATTTCAATCTGGTAGCACACTTATGAACTTTTTTTTAGCACATCAGTGCATAGCCTTGAAACTCAACACACACACAGGAACTATGAGGTCTATCCCACAGAAAGTTGAACTCAACAAACTAAAAATGGTGCATTGTAGAGCAGTGATTCGTCAACCTGACCGTCTAAAAGAATCCCCTGGGAAGCACGTTAATGTCCAGATTGCTGGGCACCAACCTTAGAGAAGCTGAGTCAGAAGGTCTAGGATGCAGCTTGAGAATTTGGATTTCTAACCAGCTTCTGGATGATGCTGATACAGCTATTTTGGGGACCACTCTGTCCCTGGCACTGCTGTAGAGCCAGATGTGACTTGGGCATGATTACAAGGGAAAGAGGTTCAGCACTTTAAGATTACAATCAGTAGCTTCTTGCAACCCCTGTCACATGTTTGTGCTCCTATCTCCAGCTTTGTTTTTAACCTATAAGGTCTTATTAGAGGACATACCAGGTAAGGAAGGGTTTCTTCAAATCAATTACAAGGAAAGTTATTATAATTTTAAAAGAAAATCATTCCACGGGGAACTGACAACATTGCAAACCATGCCCCAAGGGTTGGGCAGCCCAGGCTCAGGGCAGGCACTCCTGCCCACAGGCCAGGGAGTCTGTCTCTGTGGAACACCTCAGCCGTGTCTCTTCACGTACTTGTATTGCTTTGTCATTCTCATGCTGTTTGATTCAAGACCCTGTCCTTGGTCATTATGGTCTCTCAAAACTGTGAGTCTGATCAGGTCACTCTCCTGCTTAAAAATGTCAGTGGCTACCTGTGCCTTTTTGTGATGTGTGGATCTTTTCATCATCTTTCGTACCTCTTTAATCCCATGCAGTCTCTCCTATAGGACACCTTGCAGTCTCTGGAAGAGCCCCGTTGCCTCTTACCTACATCTAGGATTCCAATCTCTCTAGGTTTACCTGTCTTCACTTGGTTAAACTCTATTTCTCCTCCAGGTGGTATCCTTGAAATCAGTGGGATGGGAAAACCTTTCAAGAACTTGGACAATGTCCCTCAAATACTCCTGTAAAGCACTTTTGTTCTAGTGGAAATGGACTGGAGGTGAGGCTGAGCCCTCCAGTAAACTGGGAGCTCCTTGAAGGCAAGCCCAGAGTCTTGGCACCCATTGCATGAGTAAATAATTTGACAAATTATCTTTGAACTTGTGTTACTTCAGACCCAGCCAAAATTAGCCAACATGACTGCTCTTCTTGGGGCAAAAGATTGATTGTGTGATCTCTAAGAGTCTGAGCTACAATGGGAAATATTCACTCACAAAGCATAAGAAAATGACAACATGCCATTAATAACCCAGAAGAAGCTGTATCTGTTTTCAAATTTTCCATCTGAGCATTATAAACCACAAAACCAACTGTTTGTCTTCACAAAGAACGTATTTTTTAGCAGCACACTTTCCCAAAAGGACACTCCTCCCTCTGTTGCATTTTGATCTATCCTGATTTAATTTAAAGTTTGAAGATGGGGTCTGACCTTATCTATTAGTGGCTAGCCGTTGTCTCATGGAAATGCAGTTTGAACCTCATTAATAGGGTAGCCTGTATATTATAACTTAGAAGCTCTGGGTTATCACTGATGCTTGCAATTGCTATGGAAACCGAGTTCATATGCGCCTTTCAAAGAGTCTGGTTTAAAACATGAAGGAAAAAAGGATGAAGAAAAAGAAGGTTCCTTGGAAGAATAAGCTATTTAGTACCCAGCAGGCATAGGCGGGTTCAGTGATGCAAAAATGCTCTGCCTCCATGGTGATAAAAACAATTCTTTATATTTTTTTAAGAACTAATAATGTATAACCTTGTATTAGTTAGCTGTGTTTATACTGGTGAGGAAGAATGCCTGTGGCATCTGACCCCTCCCCATGCCCACACATAGATATGCAAACATACACCCACATTTTCCTGTTTTTCTCAGCCCTTCTGAAGCCTGCATACTTAAATCCCCCAAAGGCATCTGTACATGTAGCTTTGGCTGCCACTATAGTTTAGAGCTAGATGGCCCCCTCAAAGTCTTATGTGTTTGGGATGGGGCTTTTGGGAGGTGATTGGATCATGAAGACTCTAACTTACTGGATGAATCCATTGATGTGATCATAATTTGATGGCATTATTGGGAGATCATGGAAACTTAGGAGGTGGGACTAGTTGAAGGGAGTAGGTGAGGGCATGACCGTGGGGTTTATATTTGGACCTTGGCCCCTTCTTTTCTGAATCTTTCCTTTTTTCTGTGCTTCCTAGCTGTCATGAAGTGAGCAACTTTCCTCCACCACATCTTTCCATCATGATATGTCTACCTCATCTTAGGCCTAAAAGTAGTGAAACCAGCTTACCATGTACTGAAACCTCTGAAACTGTGAGCCAAAATGAACTTTCCTCCTTTAAGTTGCAGTTGTCAGGTCACAGTGACAGAGAACTGACTAATATAGCAGCTAAACCCAAACCACTGTGAACATTGGTGGAGAGCTCATTCTTTTTGCTTCTTCTTGAATGTGTAGTGTTGCACCCTGTTGTGTATAGACTGGATTTTTAAATTTTAAAATGGTAGTGCTAATTTAATCCAGTTTCTTATAAATAATTCTTCTATTCCTCTTTACATTTGGATTTTGGAGGCTCTATCCTTCTTCTCCCTCCTTGCCCACATTCTATACTAATCACTGTACTGTGGTATTGTGTGGGAGGAACAATAGAGTGACCATCACCTTGTGGAAAGTGATTTTCCATGCTAGCTTCCCACCACCAATGTACAGCTATGTATTATTCCTTCCAATGTTCTCATTTCTTTTTTCTACCTCCTCCATGTGAATTGTTTAGGGCTTTGCCTTTATCTATTCTGCATTCTCCCACCCCTTGCCCCCACTCTAAGAGACAAGTGTGAACTGCATCTCTTCTTCTTCAAAGCAGGACACTGCATTTCTTCCTTCTTTCTTTCTTTCTTTCTTTCTTTCTTTCTTTCTTTCCTCCTCCTCCTCCTTCTTCTTTCTCCCCCTCCTCCTCCTGCTCCTCCTCCCCCTCCTCCTCCCTCTCCTTCCCCTCCTCCTCCTCCTCCTCACCCTCCTCCACTGGTTTCTCTCTGTTCCTTCTTTCAGGCAGAAGGAACTTGGAAGAAACCGCCCCCTTCTGAAGACTGGTGCTCACTCTGCAAGCATGTGCAAACCACTTATTTTCATTCAAATACCAGTAAGTATGTAACTCCAACCAGAACTCTTGCCCCTCTTTTAATAAGGCATCCTCTTCCCTGGGAGGCCTTCCTCAACATCATTTCAGAACCGTACATTTCCCTCTCCCTGACACTCAGACCTCCTTGGTGGCAGAGGCTGTGTTTCATTCATCTTTCCCTCTTGCCCACAGGCAATTGCCCTTGGTATATGAGGATGCTTGGTGAGTATCTGTTCCCTTGTTAGTTTAACAAATAGGCTAAGCTCATCCAGTGGCATCTTTGTACCAGTGAATGTCTCAGGTTGCTTGTGGACTATATTCTTGAAAATGACAAAATTATAGAAATTCTGTCAAATTTTTAGTTCTATTGTTATCTCAGTAGTCCCTTTTCATGTCTGTCTTAACCTTTATCCTTTGATGCCAAATCTGCCCACCTACTGAATAAAAAGTGTTGCTATTTTAAACTGATAGTTGATAGAAAAAAGATTTTATTATGAGAACAAGTTATTTCCTTTTATGTAGCAAAAACAAAGTGAGAAAAATTTAAAGGTACTAGGCTGAGGAAATTCGACAATAACTTATATACTCTCTCAATTAAATTAGGCAAATCATGCTAAGGACTAGTGTTTTTCAGCCTGAATTTCTATCCAGATAACCTACTATACCAATTTGCATTTGAATTTTTAACAAAATATTTTCTATAAAAGCTACTACATCTAGAAAAGAATATATATTAATCCCCCTTTAAACCTTTAACACATTAAAAAGCTACAGAATGTGTATATTAACTAGCCAATTTATAAAAGCAATGTGATTTGGGACTGATGATGAAGAATTAAGCACAAGAACACCATGAAGTCATTTTCCATTATTTTTTTTTATTTTTTTAAGGATTACCATTGAATTTCTGCAGTATAATTTAACTAATAAGTAGTTTGGTAGTTAAAGCATGAGTTGTAAGCTTACAGCCTTGGTTGGTGACAAGGTATGTATTTATCTGACCAACGGAATACAGTGGCAGTTATCTTCTAAGCATTGACCAACTGGGCCTTCAGGTCATCTTCATCTGCAGGAACTTCAGTGGTAGCGTTTTCTTTAGTTAGACTTTCTTGTTTCTCATCTTCATCCAGTTCATCCCATAGGTCCTCAGAAAGCAACTGTGCAGCAGACTTGAGGTTCAGTCCTTCACTGTAGAGAAGCTTTCTTTTCATCTCAAATTGTCGCTGCTTTTCTTTTTTAGTAAGAAGGAATTGGTTGGTATGTGCCTCGCCGCTCTTTTCATCCTCCACTGACCCCTTGGTTTCAAAAAGGTCAGTGGCAGCTAATTTCTTAGCTAACATATCCAAGGTTATAACTTCTTTGGCTTTGACATCTCTTGCAGTAACTTCCCTAGTATCTTGTACACCGACATAGGGAGTGCCCGGTTCATTTGCCTTCACCAAATCATGATCTCTGTATGATGAGAGGTGAGTCGCAAGGATGTTGTATTCATCCCACCTCTGAGATTTCTTCCTCTGGACCGCTTGGGTTGACGTTCTGAACTGCTGGGCAGAAGCACCCCCTGAGGTGGTTGTTGAACCTTTATTTTTCAGGATGCCCTTGATGGGTCGGTGAGAGGTTGCCATTGTGGGCCTCTAAGGAGTGCGGCGGAGGGTCGAGCCACAGAGCAGCCGCTCGCCAAGCTCCGCTCCGGGCCGAAGCAGTAGCCCGACTGACTGTGTGGGCAACAGCTCCTAATGCTCTAATAGTAGCACCAGGGCTTGTGCGTGGCAAACTACACTGTGAGCCTGCACAATGCCCCCTTCTTCTGTCACTTCCGCTGTCATGGCTGCCATTACCACCTAGCCCCCCGGTGCTGTTTTTTCTTGTTTGGCTTGTTTTTAATAGAATAAAATGGGAAATACCCATTCGTGGCATATGAAAAGGGGAAGCATTGTTTTAGAAGTTTTTCACACCCTGTCTGCCCATAGGGAAGCTATATAAAATGTATTTCTTACTGTCAAAATTTGAAAGCCACTACTTTAGTCTCTCATTTGTGTTCGTGCACGCCATCTCTTACAAGCACACTGGGTTTCTCCTCTCTCAAATGGGTTCAACAACAGCCCTTCACATCAGCCAAAGCCCTGGGTATGGTTCTTGGTCCCTTATTCTCCAATCTAGCCCCTAAATATTTCAAGAAACTTTCATTTTATCTCTTCTGCAGCCTCTCCCCTTCAGGTCATCCTCATATCTCCTGTTGACTACAGCCATACTGAATTGGGCTCCTGAGATTTCCTCCTTCCGCCTTTCAGTCTCTTACCATCCTCCAGCCACAGTGACCTTCTTAAAACACCCATCAGGGGGCCGAGGATTTAGCTCAGTGGTGCCACCGCCCTCCTCACAAGTGCAAGGTCCTGAGTTCGATCCCCCGTACCAACAAAACAAAACAAAAAAAACACCCATCAGGTCTTGTTATATCTCTTTTGCAAACCCTTCCACAACTACCCATTTTCTTTACTGTAAAAACCAAATCCCAAAAGAGGTCAAGAAGCAGTTGTATGGTCTCCTCAGTCTTCTCAGACATCGATCTACAGTTTTCTGCCCATAAATTCTTCCCACTTTACCTCTGGTTTTCAATTCTAGCCTTTCAATTCTGAGAGCATTCATGATCCTTCCTGCCTAAGAGTCTTTTTTTTTTTTTTCCTTCAGATTTTTGCTGCAGCCTGGAACACCTACCTCTTCAGATTTCAGTTTAATCATTACAGGTTACAGGGGTAATTTCCTGTCCGTCCAAAGCAAATACTCTTGTCTATGCTTTCAGTGGCATCTCCTATTCTTCTTGGCAGCATCTGAAGTCATTTATAATATATTATATGTATAAACTAGGTGGTAAATGCCAAGACGAGAAGGAAGTGATAAACGCTATTCTTTGGCCAAACTTTAGTTAGGTTCCTCTGAGCCCTCTGTTCAGATGGGCCTGACCTTAGACTTTCCTTACTGTGCTTGTGGAATCTGATTTGAACAAGAATCCTATTAATCCCCCACCCTTGGTTCTGACCCACTCCTTATACTTGAGTAAATTCGTTTTGCACCAAACTAGATATCTGATCAGTCTGGCATAACTTAAGCAAAACTCTATTGGTTCAGTCACCCCATTGTTCCTTCTTATTGATTTTCCATCTACCAACCCCACTTTCCTCCTTGGCTATAAATCACCATTTGTCATGTTGAAGTTAGGCCCAGTTTCTCTCTCCCACTGCAAGACCCCATTGCAGGGGTCCCTATACCTATTGTGATAGTCCCCTATTGAATAGAGTTCCCCTTAGTATATCTAAAGTGCTACACAAAAGTTTTTCTTTAGTAATTATGGTTCCAGTGATTCAGATGGAATCAGATTCATCATCTGACCTCCAGACCTCTCATCCAGAACCCTAAGGTTATACCTGTCATATTCACTTTCCTGTCACTGGAACACAATACCCAATACCTGCAACTCAAAGGAGGAGAGGTTTATTTTGCCTCCTGCTTCAGTCCACTGTCAACTGGCTCCAAGGCAGGATGGCATGGCACTGGGACATGTTGGAGGAGTAGCTGCTCACTCCATGGCAGACAGGAAGCAGATCCTGTGGAAGGAGGAGAAGGGGAGGGAAATGTACTGCTCTAGGTCATCCCCTCCAGTGATTCATCTCCTCCAACCAGGGTTCACCTCCCACCATCACATTTACCTATAAATTCATCAGTGGATTAATGCGATGTAAGCATCATGCCCCAATAATCAAAGCATTATCCAAAAGCTCCACCTATGAGCATGTGGATCTTTGGGGGGTTATCTAGATATAATCAGTAACAATATCCTTGAAGCTTTTATCTTCACTTCTAGCTCACTAATCAAGGAACCATTGGTGAGTCTAATTCCTGAGCCAGTACTCTATATGATAGGCCAATGAAGGAAAGTTAGAATGGATTTTGATTCTTATGATTCTCAGTGTGCACTTTAAAGCTGGGTAAGAGTCTGGGCTTCTTTTAATCTTAGTCTTCTTCCATTGCTATAACTGAATACCATCCATGAATAATTAATAAATAATAAAGGTTTGACTAATGGTTATGGAGGCTGGGAAGTTCAAGCTTAGGCAGCTCCATCTGGTGAGGTCCTTCTTGCTAGTAGGGTTTTTGTATAGAATCTCAAAAGCAGTCTAGGGCATGAAAAGTGAGACAGAGCATCCTAACTCAGGTCTTTCCTCCTCTTTATATAAAACCACAGTCTCCTTGTATTAGGGCCTGCCCTTATAACCTCATTTAATTACCTGTCAAAAGTCTCACCTCCAAGTCCCTACCCTTCCAATACCTCACAATAGAAATTAAGTTTCAACATTATTTATGGTGGAGATTTTCAAACTACAGCAGTACTTGCTGGACTGAAAGTCTTTCTGGCTTTTTGTCTGAGTGATTGGCTCTACGCTAGAAAATTTTCCTGGTTCTTTTTTCCTCAAGTAGAGATTACCCCTTGACTCCCTAGGCTGGACTTTTGGGGGGGGGGGAATTAGTGAGCCTGTTTTCTCTCTCTGCTTCTAATTCTCCCATAGAAGCTTTACAACCATCTGAAATACCACTTCTCAAACTACTGACTATATATGTATTGCCAGAGTGATCTACTTCCTTTCTAATAGGTATGATTTTGCTGAGGATAATTTGTAACTTTAGTGGTCTCCCCAAACCAGCTCTAAGACCTCTTCTTTCCTATCACCTCTATTTCTCCTTATTGTTCCCACCTGCAGTCTTCCCTTTAGCTCTCTTGAATTCTTTGGTATGTTCCCTTTCAAACTCTTACCTCCTTCAACCCTCTGATCAGCCCTGTTAGAATTTTTCCTTCCCATTGTAGTTCCTCAGTTCCCTTAGTCAGGTCAACTGTAGGCCCCTGTCACCATTAGGGGCTTGAAAGGAACACAGAAATCCCTGAAACTAACTACTTGAGGCTGAAGAGTAAAAAATCAATAGGAAACATATATTTTATCTCCTCAGATGGAGCCTGGAGATATCTGCTTGATGTCCTGTCAGTTTCTTGTCTAAAAATTACTTGAAAACCTCCTCCATATATTTGGGCATGACTATGACCTCAGCACTTTGGGAGGCTGAGGCAGGAAGATCACAAGTTCTAGACCAGACTGGCCAAATTAGTGACTTAGCAAAACCCTGTCTTATAACTTATAAAAGGGGTGAAGGCTGGGAATATAGTTCGGTGGAAAGGCCCCAAGTTCAACCTCCAGTACCAAAAAAAAAAAAGGAACAAGAGGGTGGGGGGAATGGAACCTCATTAAATTACATATTAAGGATCAGGGCAAAGGAAAAATTTGAGGTCTTCTCCACAAAAATTAGTAAAAAGCCCTTATTGAGTAGCAATCTCAATTTATTCTACTTTTGTCAGAAATGCAACTCAGGTATAACAAAGTGGAAATAAACCAATGAATTTTGTAAGTGTGTTGCTAGATTCATGGCCATAATCCTAGAATAAAAGCTGTCGAATCTCTATTTGCATTATATTAAATTAATATAAAAATAAATGAGACTTATATAAATGAAATATTCCTAAAACTTCCAGAAATATAGGAACTAACTCAAATGCTTTTAAATTTCACATGACTTGTATATATCTTTCATAAGTAAAACCGGTTTGACAGAAATGGGAATGTCTTCTGACTTATGAGCATTAAGTAGAATAGAAGCATACATTTTTAATTCTACCTGAGTTTAGTAGTATATTATCTCTACTAAATGTTTAAAAGTATAACATTTTAAAATTTCAACCTAAGAACCAGCATAAAAAAGTACAGAAGCCACTACTTCATGTATATCAATATAGCAGTTAAACAAACAACTCATATATTTAACATTTTTACCTTTTGGTAGCCTGACACACACATGCTATGAAAATAGTTAACAGGGAAAAATTTTGAGATATTGCTAGCCTTGCTCTATGTCATACTGACTGCCTAAGAACAGTGCACAAAACCTTTGATTATGTGAAGTCTTAGATCTACAGTAAGTTAAATCAAACAATAGATATTAAATAGCTATACCATTTTTAAGTGAGATAAACTACCAAAATGCTAATTATTAAATCTATATTTAGGCTTATATTCTTTTGGCCTAAATGTAGTATAGAGAGAATAAAGTATATTAGGCATATTAAACACAAAAAATTAGGAATTAGCATATATCTATAAGAAATGTGAGATGATATATTTATAAAACTTGCTGATCTGTACAGAATGCTGATATAAATCAGATACTTCACAATTGTCTACTTCCTAGTTTGCTCTGTAAAAGAATGTTCACAGTTAAAAATTACAATCAAGATATATAATTAAAACTACCAGAAATAATAAGAGTGAGGGTAATAATTTTGTATGAAAAATATGTAAAATAAGTAGATTTTTTAACAAAGAAAGTATACAAGGTACAAAAAAATGCATTTTTATGGAGGAGAAGGACCTGCCTCCAACACACTGCAAGGTGTGGGATCTGCTGCCTTGCAAAAAGCTGTCAAGTTTTTTTGTCAAATTTTCAAAAAACTCCTAGCCTGCTCTGCACCTTGGTTCTCAGCACAGAACCACAGACTGCCAAACAATCCACCCAACTGAGGACAAGG